CTATTAGGGCTTGAAATACTTCACTCCAGGCTCTCCTTGACTTGAGGGATTGTGTTGAGAAGTCTGCCATGATTCTGATGGGCTTTCCTTTGTAGGTGATTTGTTTCCTTTCTCTAACTGCTTGTAGGATTTTGTTCTTCTGTTGGGTTTCTGAGATCTTTACTATTATATGTCTATGTGCAGATTATTTTTTTTGATCCTGGCTAGTTGGAGTTCTATATGCCTCATTCATCAGTTTGTCCAATTCTCTACCTCTGTCTAGGAAGTTTTCTACTATTGCTTCTGTGAACAGTTTTTTTTTATGTCAATTGTACTTTCTCCTGCTTTTTCATGGACTCCTATCAGTCTTATGTTATTCTTCTTTGCATCATCTAGCAGCTGCTGGATTGATTTCTCGTGGTCCCTTACTATTTTTAAGAAATCTCTGTGTTCATGGTCCTTAACCACAACCCTGTCTTCTATATCTGGTATTCTATCTGCAGATTCCTTTAATCTGCTATGCATACTTTCAGTGGAGTTTTTTAATGTCCTGGATATCTGTTTTGTGGATTCCAATTCTTTCCTATGTTGGGCAATCATGTTTTCCATTTCTTTCTTATGCTGGCTGTTCATGGCTTCTAGCAGTTTTCTTAGCTCATCTATTTTTTTTTAATCTGTTTCAGTTCTAGAGCCTCTAATCATGTCTTTCACTCTGCTCACCATCTCTGTAGTTATCTGGGAGATTATTTCTGCTTTGAATTTTTCTAGAGCCTCATGCATCTGTTTTGTTACTTTCTGTGCCATCAGTTCAGGGTGTCCAGGTGGTTGATTATCAGACTTTTCCACCTTGTTTCCCCCAGAATTTGCCTTTTGTAGGGTGGAAGTATGAGTTTGTGCCTTGCTTAAACGTGTTCTCATTTTTGTTTTTGGTATTGTCCTTGGTTGAATTCCTGGGTTAATACTTTGAAGTTGCTTATTGTAAGCATCTTTGTTGCTTGTATTTAGAACACTTATAGAATGATTGCTTCTCAGAGGTGTCTTCCAGGTATAGCTGGTCTTTAAGATTTGAGACTCTAATGGCTCTGAGGCCATCTCTATTCATTATACGATGAATGACAACTGATTAGATCAATCACAACACCAAAAAAAAAATCATAACACTTTAACTCAAGTTATACCATCAGCAACACCATAGCATCAAATACATCCTTGAAAATGACAGTTTGTGGTAGTTATTAATCTATCACCTTAATCTATCACCTTTAACTGTGTGAATTAAATCAAAATCGAGGACCTACCCAACATGTGTTTATAGTGAATAAACTCTTCAATATAGCAACTTTACCCTTCAGGATGGGGAGTTAGAAGGAGTTGGGCAGGGACGAATTAGGCAGGTCGAAGGATAGGGGAAGGTTAGTAGTGAGGCCAGAGGACACAGGCAATCGAAGAAAAGAAAAATAAAAAAGAAATACAAATTAGGGCCAGAACAGAAACACAAAGGGAGATGAAGAACAATGTGGGACAGCAAGGGAGTGAGTGAGAGAGAGAAAGAAAAGAGGAAAGAAAGAAAAAGAGAAAAATAAAAATTTGAAGAGTAGAAAAAAAAATTTAAGAGCAAAAAATAATAATTTTGAAAATAACAAATAAAAGATAGAAATGAAGGGCCTCCTTCAGGGTATCTCTCTGCTGTCACAATAGACAATGTGGGTGGCCGTTTGCAGATGTAAGTCAATAAGTCTCAGCAAGCCAGTCACAGATCTGTGAAATTCAGGCAGATTTCTGGCTGCAAGTTCCAAGTTGAGCTCCCAGTCCTCCTGCAGGGTTGAACTCTGCAAGGCTCTACTGCAGCTTCCAGCTGCCCTTCCCCTGAAGATAGTCCAGGTTCCGATGGGAGATGATGATTTCTCCAACTTACCAACTATGCTAGTCTGGTGTGCCTTTATTGCAGAGACTTTCTTCACTTTTCCAATGGGCCTCAGTTTTCATCAAGGAGCCTGAGAGAGGCCCTCTATCTGTTGTTTACTTCTGCAGCTCAGGACAATGGCCTTTATGCCCCCCCTCTGCCTCTGTAGTGTGGAACTTGGTAGCAGTACAGCCAGGAGACCAGAGGTTGGGGGGAGGGGCGGAGGTTGCAGGTGCCAGCACTTCTAAGCTCCTCGCTGGTGGGCATGTTGAGGTATCCTCACCATCTCTTTGATTGCAGGTAGGCATGGAGAGCAGGATGGAGTGGGTCTCCAGACAGCCAGGGACCTCTCAGCCTGCGTGGTTAAGCTGCTCGTTGGTGGGCATATCGAGGGTTCCTCACCACCTGTCTTCAGTTTTCTTTATGGCCATCTGTCCTGTTTACTGAGAATAGCCTGTTTGCTTTCAAAGGTCTCATTCAGGCCAGGCATGACCATGATCACTGTAGACAAATTGAGGCTCCTAAGTTATAGATTTCACTATTTAGCTTCATTGCCCTATCTTTAGTGTACCATTTATAGAAATCCTGTCATATGTGTCCATGTACTTTAAGTGATGCACATACCTCATGTCCATTTGATGTGGAGGACGCAATCTAAAGAGTGAACATGAACTCCGTCCCTTGTGGCAGGACCCTGAGCTGATGCAGCATGTGCATTCTGCATCACTGTTTTTCTCTCCCCTTAAGTTCTCACAGTTCTGACCTGTCTTAAGCTGAAGTGCTTTCTCATACTTATAAAATTTTTGGAGAATTCTTTCTATTCCATTGGTGATGAGGCCCTTGGTGATAACCACCAGTCTTTAGCCTCCACTGGTGTTGACCTGCTTTTCACTTGGTTCTTAAAAGCATTTCTACTTGGCACTGTGAAGGCCCCACTAGGAAGTTAGAATATAGACTTTTATTACAATAAGTATAAATCTCTTTAGATTAGAGTTTCACTGCTGTGATCATTTTTTGAGAAAGAAAGAAATAGCAAGAGAGGAAGAAACAGCAACAGGCCATTGATCTTCAGAACGATATAGACTTGCACTCTGTATGAGGGATAGATGTGGACAGTGAGTGTCAGGCTTTAGAATAAAGAACAGTAACCAATGCGGTGTCACCCAAAGCTCTAAAGCAAATGTAGCTAAGAGTCTTATTCTCCCCACAACATAAAGTCCTAGATCTTTTCAGTTCAGCTTTCCTGTATGTTAAGAAGAATTCATCATCTTTAATTTCTCTTATTTTTGTGGTCTTTGACTGTTGTCTGAGGCTAGATACCCATATTTATGAAGGTTAAATGCCATGGTATTTCCTCTGCTGTAAACTTTGAGATGTTCTGAGTGCTTCTTTCAGTCACCAGCTGATGTGGGAAATCAGAAGGACATGTAGATCCTGAGAACAGAAGCAACTCACCTCATCTGTGCTGTAGATTTCCCAGATTGCATCCTTTGACCTTCACACGAAATATGTAGAACAGAGAGCTGGCTTTGCAGACTCCTCCACTTGTTGGCTTGTGCCAAGTTTTGCAAAGCATCACTTTGATATAAACTCAATAATTGCATCAAATAAAAATTAATGTGCTTTATTACTTATGCCTTTGGCCTTGCAAAAATGTATGGTATAGTGTTTATTGTATGTAAAGGCTAGTTGTGGTTGTAACACCTTTCCTCCCTTAAGTATTTAGTCTAGTGATTATATAAGAAAGGTATTCAATGATTTTGTGGGTATTGATGTGAAGGATTATAAAGGCTTCTTCCCCAGAATTGAGAACATATCTCTTTGCATATTAATCAATGTACCTGCTCATTTTTGGTGTTAGAGGAGATTTGTTCAAAGTCACAGAGACAATGGTGGCTATCTTAGATTGTGCTTCATCATCTTTATCTGAAACAGCGTTTGTGGGCAGAAGAAGCTTTCAGGATAGAAAACAACATTGGCCACTTTCAGACAAAGCAGGTCTGAGGTCCACCGCAGGTATTTGGAAACAGTAGAGGGTGTATGCTCTTCCCAGGGCAAAGGATATATGATGGACTGAAATACATAGTAGTGGACAGATTTGACTTTGTAGATTGACTTCTGGTTTTAGAGTTGGAAGTCACTGCACACTCCTGAAAGTCATGGTCAGGCTTCTTCTGGCATTCAAAGCGAAGGGTCTGGTGTGTGCTTAATAAATAATAAATAAATTTGATGTATTTTTCCAAATCAATTATAGGTTAAATAGACATAGTAAGTGTCTCAAATAGGCCCAGATGTATTTGAATATCCTTAATGAAACTTCTAACCGGGGCCAGGGATTTAGCTCAGTGGTTCCGCCGCCTGCCTCGCAAGCGCAAGGTCCCAAGTTCGATCCCCAGTACCAAAAAAAAAAACTTCTAACCTTAAATTATAAGTAGTTGTAGATCTAACATTGGAAATTTCCATCTGTTTAATGTAATTATCAGACTTTATCTTGCTATCTGGCAGAACCTGCTGTATTGATCATACTTTGATTAATAAATGTTGTCTTAGGCTGGAGATTTAGCTCAGTGGTACTGTACCTGCCTCACAAGCTTAAGGTCCTGAGTTCAATCCCTGGTACTGGAAAAAAAATGCTGTCTTAAAGTTAAAAATAAGAACAGAAAAAGGGTAATCGAACTCTGGATTACTATACTTCTTTTAGCATTTATTGAGAAGTCATGGAAATCCTTATTTTAGAAAACCATTAAATGACCTACAATTAAATCTTTTCTTTCATAACTGAGAAGATAATTAATAGATTTTTCAGGAAAATGAAGTGTCACAATCCCTAAGATGTGTTGCATATATGTACCAACTCCACACAAGGAATTAAAACATTATATGTTTGCAAATATGTTCAGAAATGAAGGGGATCAAGAGATGGATGGAGGGGAGAGAAAGAGAAAGCAAAGGGATGAAAACATGAAAGGAATGAATTACAATGTATATTGTGTACACATACTAATTTCCCACAAGAATATAAACATGTCCTTCAAGCATGTACTAATAAAAAAGAATATATAAGCATGTATTTTATATATAATACAAGCATGTGCTTGTAATTTACTTTGTTTTTCAGGCTATTGGTTCCAGGCTTGCTGTACTTACCCAGAATTTAGCAAATCTTGGGACAGGAATTATTATTTCTTTGATCTATGGCTGGCAGTTGACACTTTTACTCTTAGCAGTTGTACCCATCATTGTAATAGCATCAGTTATTGAGATGAAAATGTTGTCTGGACAAGCATGCAAAGATAAGAAAGAGCTGGAAGCTTCTGGAAAGGTAAGTCAAAGAAAATATAATTGCTTACATAAGTAAAGAAAAATCAATGTTGTTTTATTACTGCCTGCCACTTAACTATGCTCTGAAAATATTTTTATAGCCATTCCTCAAAGTAGTACTGTTTATACTTATCCCACAGATTAGAAAATGAAAAATAGAAAACATTCCTAGGCTCAAAGACTGACCACAGCTTTTAATAGGTTTCTCTGGTTTAAGACCATGTTACACATATTCTTCTCTCTTCCCTCCCTCCCCTTCTTGCTTCAGTTCTTTACTGATTTCCTTTCTTCCTTCTCCCTCCCTACCTTTTCCCTTTCTTTCTACTTCTTTGTTTCTTTCAAGTAACCTTAAATCTGTTATTTTTTAAATTCATTAAGTTTATTGGTACATTTTAGGTATACAATATGATGACATTCATCATTGGGAATTTGTACCTTTACATGATACCCCTTGGTTCTTATTTTTTTCCCTGCCCTCTGTTCAACCGCTCCACCCCTCCCTATTTCCAAAGACTTTGTTTCCATTTTTTCCTTTTCTTGTATTTTTTCTTTTCCCTTCTTTTCTTTCCCCTACCCCTTCCACTTCCGCTACTCCTTTAGACCTTTTCTTCTGATTTCCCAATATCAGTTAACATTTTGATCCTTATCTACACTTTTAGTTTTCACACCAGAGAAACTATTCGGTATTTACACATGTGTTTCCTATTTATTTCACTTAAGAGTATGGCCTCAATGTGCATCCTCTTAGCTATAAATGTCTCTAGTTTCTCATTCTTTATGGCTGTGTACTACTCCATTTTATAGAAAGCCCACATCTTCTTTATCCAATCTCCAGTTGATGGACATTTGAGCTGTTTCCAAGTTTTAGCTATCAAACTGTGCCCCTATAAACATGGGTGAACATATATCAATGTGGTATGATCCTTTTAATTATTTTGGGAAGATACCCAGCAGAGGAATAGCTGGGTCAAATGGGACTTCTAATCCTAGTTGTTTGAGGTATCTCCATACTGATTTCCATAGTGGTTGCACCAGTCTGCACTCCCACCAATAATGGAGCAGGGTTCCTGTT